TTTTTTTTTTTTTTTTTTTTTTTTTTTTGGTTGGGAGACTTATAGGTCTATTTAATTTGCTTATCTGGTCTTTATTTAACTTTGGTAAGTGATACTTATCCAGAAGATTGTCCACTTCCTTTAAGTTTTCCAATTTTGTGGAATACAGGCTTTTGAAGTATGACCTGATGATTCTCTGGATTTCCTCCATGTCTGTTGTTATATCCCCCTTTTTCTTTCCTAATTTTGTTAATTTGGATATTTTCTCTCTCTGCCTTTTGGTTAGTTTGGATAATGCTTGTCTATTTTGTTGATTTTCTCGAAGAACCAACTCTTTGTCTCATTGTTTTGTTGTATTGCTTTGTTTTTATTTTCTTGATTTTGGCTCACAATTTGATTATTTCCTGCTGTCTAGCCCCCACTGGGTAAGTTTGTTTAATTTCCTTGTGTTTGTGGGCTTTCTGAAATTAGTGTTGTTGTTGAATTCTAATTTTAAGTCATGGTGATCAGATAAGATACATGGGGTTATCCCAATTATTTTTGTTTTATCTGTTAAGGTTTGTTTTGTTACCTAGTATGTTGTCAATTTTTGAGAAGGCTCCATGAGGTGCTGAGAAAGTATATTCTTTTATGTTTGGGTCCATGTTCTATAGATGTCAGTTAAGTCCATTTGAGTCATAACATGTGTTAGTTCCCTTATTTTTCTGCTAATTTTGTCTGAGAGACCTGTGAGTATTGCGTGTTAAAGTCTCCTACTGTTATTGTTGGGAGTTTAATGTGTGACTTAAGCTTTAGAAGTGTTTCTTTTACATATGAGGGTGCCCTTGTATTTGGAGCATAGATGTTCAGTATTGAGATTTTTTTAAAATTTATTTATTCATTATATATACAGTATTCTGCCTGCATGTATGCCTGCATGCCAGAAAAGGGCACCAGATATCATGACAGATGGTGGTAAAATATGTGGGTGCTGGGAATTGAACTCAGGACCTCTGGAAGAGTTGTCAGTGCTCTTAATAGCTGAGCCATCTCTTCTTGATGGATTTTTCCTGTGACTAATATGAGATTTCCTTCTTTGTCTCCTTTGATTGATTTTAGTTTAAAGTCTATTTTGTTAGATATTAGGATAGCTATACCAGCTTGTTTCTTCGGCCCATTTCATTTGAAATTTTTTTTCCCAATCCATTACTGAAGGATATCCGTCTTTGAGGTTGAGGTGTTTCTTGTATGAAGTAGAAGGATGGATTCTCTTTTCTTATCAAGTCTTTTAACCTGTGTCTTTTTATAGGTGAGTTGAGTCCATTTATATTAAGGAATATTCATGACCAGTGATTGTGCTTCTGTTATTTTAGTTTTCTTTTTTGGTGGGTGATGTTATTTTACTGTGTGTGTTTTTCCCTTCTTTGGGACTTGCTGCTGTGAGATCATCTATTGTCTGTATTTTTGTGGATGTAGCCAACTTCCTTGGGCTGGAGTTTTACTTCTAGTACTTTGTGTAGGGCTGGGTTTGTTGCTAGGTATTGGTTAAATATGGTTGTTATGGAATATCATGTTTTGTCTGTCTATGGTGATTGAAAAGTTTGCTGAGTATAGTAATCTGGGCTGGCATCCAAGGTCTCTTAATGTCTGCATAATGCTTGACCAGGACCTTCTGGCTTTTACTTTCCATTGAGAAGTCAGATGTAATTCTGATAGGTCTGGCTTTATAAGTTAGTTGGCCTTATTCCTTTGCAGCTCTTAAGATTCTTTCTTTATTCAGTATGTTTAGTGTTTTGATTATTATGTGTCAAGGGGACCTTTTTTTATTGATTAGTGTTCTGTAAGCTTATATCTTCATATGCATATCTTTCTTTAGGTTGGGT